TACTGTATGATCCTCTTGGGCTCAGTTGTACCTCTGAATGAAGCTGCTAACACCCTACCACATACCAAAATGGACAATAGTATAATAAACTGATGTGGTGCTGCACTTATATATACAACATACCAGAAAGAATAATAGCATATAATAACTATTCATATATATAAAACTAATATCTAACTGTGCTTGTATGTGACTAAAATCACTAAAAAAATTTAAATCATGAGACAATAATCCCACTAAACCCAAGAGTGATGATGAAAATGACCTCCCCACTTCTGTGCTAATTTACGCACACAAGGGAAAAAATGACAAATAATATGTGCCTAAACTGATAAGTTCAGAAAGTAGGATAAATGTAAAAAAACCATATAAATCAGTAAATGTTGAAATTATCCCACTGTTGTGCTGAATAGCACCAATAGACAAGTGATGTGAAAAAATCCACTATTATGTAAGTGCCAACCTGGTAAGTCCAGAAAACGTGCAAAAAAGGACAATCATCCTCCCATATGTGAATAATAAGTGAAAAACTACAAATATACCAAAAAATGAATAAAAGGAGACCAACTGTTATAACTAAGGAAAAAAAAAATTGAATATAATAGTGATCCCAATTGGGGATAAAGCAGAATATAGTGACTAAGTGGCACCAAATAAACTTTATATGGTGAAAAAAAGAGGAAATATAGGCTGCACCGCCTAAAAAAGGATAAATGTGTGACCCCAATGTCGGAGATAAGCACGTGAACTTGTGAGAAGATCAATAAAGTGAGAAGAAATTATAGGCTGCACCACCTATAGAGAAAGAAGTGATAAGTGACCCCAAATACGAGGATATGAAAATAATGTACATGTGAAATCGTGACACAATAAGTGGCTCAAAACCTCCAAAGTAACTCATAAATCAATATATAAATATAACTCCAAAATATTCAAAAAATTAAAAAAAAGTCCAAAAACCACCTAAATGGTGGAGGTGTTCTACAGTCCTTTAAGTATATGTGTATACAGAGCTGGATGACGGGAGTCCCACACTATCTGAAATGGCCCCTCACCTTCATGAAGCAACCCTACAAGGTCAAACCACCTTTTAGGAAAAATAACACACCGATCAGGAACCTGGACCCCCTCCTGCAGATGTAAGGACCAACGTAGTGTCAATCCTTCTCACTGGTGGGCAAGCAGCCTCCTCAATGTTGTCCCGGAAATGGTCACTCCTCACACGGCCAAAGAGAGAAAGGAAGATGCTCCCATAGTATATACGCTTCCTTTCTCTCTTTGGCCGTGTGAGGAGTGACCATTTCCAGGTGCTCTTGTCACATTAGAGTTTGAATGTCTGAAATGAGGCCCGTTAGCTGACAGCCACTGGGCCATCATTTTTCTCCAGGCTAAATGGAGAGCTTTGTGGATCCATTCGATTGTAAGTTTTCATGTTTGTGGAGGAGAGGACCAGTAGCCAAACAGACATATTCATGGGTCCCTAAATGTTATTTTTAAACAACAAACGTCATACTTCCCTGCTCTGTGCAATGGTTTTGCACAGAGCAGCCCCGAACCTATTCTTCTCGGATCCCCAGCCTGAGCTCCTTGATCCTCCCCCTTAACCAGCGCCCCAATAGCAAGCCACTTCCTAGGAGGCACTGGTGCATGCTAGCTCCTGGGCCCCACTCTATGTGTCTATAAGACACATATACTGAAGCTCAGCCCCACCCCCTGCTCTCATTGCCTCACTTTGATTGAGAGTGAGAGCCAATGACTTCTGCTGCTGTGTCTCAACTAATGTGGAGAGAACAGCCAAGGCTCCTGGGCACATTGCTGGATTGAGAGGGAGCTCAGGTCAGTATGGGGGGGGGGGGGCAGTACAGAGGTTTTTTACTGTCATGCATAGAATGCATGACGGTGGAAAACATTCAGCCTTTACAATCACTTTCAGTAAGGTGGTATAAAGAGCCACAGTAGGAAACTGAAACCCTAAACCTTCCTCCCACACCAATTTTTAACATCACTGGTCCTTCTGCTTTTTGTCTGGTAATGGCCGTAGGAGTTTCTTACTGCTGCACTGACCAGCACTCATGTATTTATTAGTGATGAGCTTTAGTTTCAAGTCATACGTAAGTTCGACTCAAACATTGGCCGTTCATGCATTTGCTGAACACACGAACGGTAAGGGTGTTCAGTGGGTTAGTCGCCCGCTGCGCCCCACAATGCATTGTGCCCTGACAGCGCATTGTGATTGGCCAAAGAAATGCACCTGACCACAGCGCACGTGGGACAGGGGTAATCCCACCCCTTGTGACCTCATCATAGTAATTAAGAACTGTCATTGTGGTGCAGCTGTTAGCCGGCTGGGAACCAGAGTCGATAGCAGAGCATTTCTTTTTCCTTTTTTCATGTTAACGGTGGCGGTGGGCATTGAGGTTGACGTTGGATCTACTTTGGGGGATATTTCTTTCTTTCGTTTTTTTTAAAGGACTTGTCAAAGACTGTCTCCTGTCATTTTTACACTACATTTTTTGTGAATTGGTAGCGGTACCATGTACCGCATACTCATTCACATAGGGGGGGCTTGGATTCGGGGGCCCCCTTGTTAAAGTGGGCCTCTAGATTCTGATGAGCCCCCTGCCTGCAGACCCCCACAACCACCAGCCAAGCCATCAACATGGGGACAAGGTGCTTTGGACGGAGGGAGCCCCCCCTGCCCCAAAACCCCCCCCCCCCTGTTGAGGGCATGTGGCCTGGTATGGTTCATGGCCTGCCAGGCTGCATGCTCGGATAAGGGTGTGGTATGGATTTTTTTTTTAATTTTGGCATGGGGGTTCCCCTCAAAATCCATACCAGACCCAAAGGGCTTGATATGATTGCGAGCGGGAACTCCGCACTGTTTATTTTTTTTAATTTTTCAATTGTCAGGCAATGCCAAAAATTCTTTTGACATTCAGTTGTCAGCGGGGAATCTGTTAAAGAATGTTTCACTACTAAAATACCTCATGACTTAATAATTTAAGTTATGCGGTAGTTTAGTAGCTGAGCGGTATCTTGCCTCATACTTAGACGCAGTAAGATACCGCTCACTAAATTGTCTCTGTTCGAAGTTCACGGTTAAACTTTCAGTAGGAGTGAATGTTCGACCGCAAACCGAACAGGAGGGTGTTCGGCCAACCACTAATAATGATGTGTGAATAAGACTCTGAGTCTAAATAGCCATGATGACACATCCCCAGAAAGCAGGTCCCTGACAATCACTGGAAATAGCTTGAATAATGCTGGCCAACCCATAAGAGGAGTGAATTTAGCCAAGAAACAGCAAAAGTTGCCCTTTTTTAAAAAAATTTTAATATGTTTAAATTTTCTAAAGGGCAGCTGGAGGGGTAAGCAATATTCGATTTCTCTTATAAATAGGGTCAGCACAGTGGCTAAATGGTTATCCCAACCACGGCACCACCTGCCTGGAGCTTGCATGTTCTCCCTGTGCCTGCGTGGGTTTCCTTCAGGTACTCCAGTTTCCTCCCACACTCCAAAGACATGCTGGTAGGTTAATTGGCTCCTGTCTAAATTGGCCAATGTATAAATGTTGAGTTAGGGACCTTAGAATGTACGCCCCTTGAGGGCAGGGACTGATGTAAATGTACAATACATGTATGTAAAGCACTGCGTAAATTGACAGCACTATATAAGTACCTGTAGTAAATAAATAAATAAATTAGCCCCTTAGTAAACCTTCTGAGCATATAAGACACACAAACAGCCTTATTCGTATTTAATTGCATACAGAAATTGATCACAGCATATGCAGCAAACCATCAGTGTGAACTTTAGAAGATTAGTTGTGCATCTGCTTTGGTTGTTCAGACTCCCATATGTTCATGCAAACCTGCGATAGACGCATGTAAGTCATTTTTAGGATAATTTCTCCCAGCTATTCTGCATTTCCTTTCAAAAGATCAGACCCAATTTCTGATTTTTCAAGCTCTCTGTAACAAAGATGTCTATAAACATGAGTAAATTTAAAAAAAAAATAGTAAATAGGTGTTCATTTTATAACATTGCATCATGGACTCTATAAAACAGCAGAATTTGACAGAACTTCATCATTCATTTGTGTCTGTTATCATCATTCATCGGCATGCAATTGTCTAGTGAATGCCTCTTTAATGTTCTAGTTTTTGATATGTAGTGTAGAATCCCATTTCACATTCTCTTATTGGTCAAGGCCAACACCAGTATCTCCTGAAAAATGTGGTTAGAAGATGCTGGGGCAGCTGAACTCACTCTGTAAAATAGACTCTGCTAACCATTTGCATGATTTGTCCCACATTTTTGTACAGAGTGTGGAATGTCTGCTTTTTGATTTTTTTCACTCTGGACTCTGAAGTCTTATACACAGTTAAAGGGGTTGTAAAGGCTAGACATTTTTGACCCTCATGCATTCCTTGCAGTAGGTAAAAAAATATCTCGGCCCTCCCCCAATTCGAGTTTTGACTCAATCCAGCTCGGAACCCATGTGTAGCAGTAATCTCCAATCTCTCCCCACATTCAGAAGACAAAGGCAGCAGTGGGAGCCATTGGCTCCTGCTGCTATCAAATCCTGTGAGGTACGAGAGGGGGGTGGGGTTGAGCCGCATGGTTTCTGTCTATGGACACACAGAGCCCAGCTAAGGAGCAGGACCAGAGCCATGCCACCATAGGAAGAAGCTTACTATGGTGGTACATCCAGAAGAGGAAGAGCTGAGAGCTCTGGTGGGGGACCACAGAAGATACTTTAAAGTAAAGAAATATAAGGGATGCCATTGCTGATCTGTTCTTCTGAAAATGCTGGTTGCTTGACTTTCATGCTGACCCCCTAGACTGCTTTCATATGTTCTGAGTCACTTACATTGAACAAGTAAGCGGGAAATTGGATTTCAAGTGATTCATCTGCTTGAACGACAAACTTAGAAGTTGCCTACAAAAGTAGACTTAAAGTGTTACTAAACCCACAACAGTAAAAACAGTCTGTATATGCAGTAAAGCATGCTTGTTATACTCAGTGTGGAACCTAAGGGGTTAATCCCTTGTGTTGTGTAAAAATGCTGTATGATCCTGTCTTCTCTGATCCTCCCCTTCTTCCAGTGTCCCCCTCTTATCTCCTGATAAGACATATCGTGTGGAGTCACTCTGCACATGCTCAGTTTGGTGTGTAATGCTAGAGATTTTTTTTTTTCTTGGGAGAGTGCAAGTGATCAGCACAGGGCCAATCAACACTGTCCAGACAGAGATCAAGGGTTCTGCATCCTCCTAGAGCAAAATTAAAACTCCTGCTACAAGTTTTAACGTGCTTGGTTGGGCACTGATAGAAGTAACAAGACTGCTGTAATTGCTCAGGAGAAAAGGTATTTAGCAGTTTATATTTACTAAAATAATTGGATTTCCATGTTGTATGTACTGTGGGAGACCAGATATAGTAAATGCAGGGTCCTGGGTTTAGTAACACTTTAACACTTACCTCTTCAGCGGATGGCAAGTCCTCACTTTACTGACTTTAAGAGCTGAGGTGTGCAGCAGAATCTTCACATCCCACACTTCAGGGTTTGTCAGATGCCTGCATGCCCTGCAACCAGGGGCGGACTGACCATTTGGAAACTCAGGCACTGCCCGAGGGCCCGGGGTCAGTAGGGGGCCCCATGAGATGCCCCTGGTACCTTTTTCATAGGCTTTTTTGAGTTTGGGCAAGGACACAGGGGCCCCATGATCCCCTATTGCCCGGGGGTCCCATGAGTTGTCAGTCCGCCCCTGTCTGCAACATGCTGTGGTTCCATCCATCGACCTGCATCATTATAGGATACCATAGTAAGACTGAAAAATCTTCATCAACAGAGAGGTCAGTATTAAAATTCCTTTGAAAATAACTTTTGAAGGTTTTTTAAGCGACAGAGTCACTTTCACTTGCTTGCATACTTGTTATGGTTTGTGACTGGGCAATAATCACAATTCTTTCAATTTCTTTTGCATGTTACACCAAAACAGTGTTTCACAAGTTTGTTTATGTGTCTAGACAATATCACAGAAAACCATCACAGCCTTTCAGCCTCATTAGGGTGAGGTAGTGAAGGCCTTTTACCCCTTCCTTTGTAAAGATTTTCTCTCACTTCCTGTTGTGTTTCTAAGACAGAAAGTGAAAGGAAGTATCCGCAATGGGAAAAAATAAGATTTTTTTTTAAAATACTGCCTTCCACAGTGTGCAATAGCTTGGCCAAAGTGGACCATTCAGTTATCGTGACTTTTCATTTAGTGGGTCCATTGAATTGACAGTTGCATGGAGATACAATCAGTAATAAGGATGGAAACATCTGATGACCTTTTGAGCATTGGACAAATGACAACAATAACTTCCAATCTGGGCCAGGCTGAGGATAAAAAATGCAAGTCATTCTCTCTATAAAATTTCCATGGACTTTGATATGATCACAGAAAAGATTGATGGACTTCCATGCATTTGGAAGGGAGGCAAATGTGAAAGAGAAAACAATTCTTAATTGCACCACAAAATTTTAAAATTGCTATCTAGTTGTGACTGGAAAAGGTATACAAGAAGAGACTGTTGTATATTCACACAGAACCTTTTTTGCCAGCAACAAAAGAAAAAACTCTCTTCAATGATTCCCAACAGGGAGGTAACCCATAAAAAGAAGAATTTTGTGTAGGTTATTTTTTAAGTTACATAACAGCAAATAGTCATGGACTCCTAATTTTGCCCATGGAGAGAAGTGCCAATTTGTTAATAAAATGTGGCCTAGTAACCACCAAAAGCAAAACAAAATATATACCCAACTCAAGCTTTATCTCTCACAGATATCCAACTAAATGCTGCAGCAGTCAAAAAACTCTAAACCAAAAGTTCCTTTTATTACCTAAATCTATGGTCATGTGACATATGTAGTCCATTAAATTGCCTTAATCCATGCTCCTTTGAAGAGCTAAGTTTAGAGTTTTCTGTTTTCTAAACTGTAGAGTGGGATTGTAGTTCTTCTATCATTTGGGTCACCATCTAGTTGATGTGGAAACCTCAAATTGTCTATTCAGTGGTGGGGTCATCTCTGTTCTTATAGACTGCAGTGTCATGATGAGGAGATTATAGAGTCATAACACTGCTCTCCCCTCCCAGAAGAGGAATGAAGTGTCAAACTCAAATAAGTTCAAAACTGCTTTAGAACCTTTTTTTTTACTTTACTGAATGATGGGAATTGGAAGTTATGGGATGGATGGCAGATGGGTTTTGGATAGGATGTTTAATTTAGTTGCCATAGTCTCGTGAAATTGAGCATTTAACTGCATGAGGAGGTAAAGCTTACTTGACCAAAGTTGCCAAGAAATGTTTACTATCAGTGAAAATATATATGGTAATGATCATTTCTTGTTGTTGTGTTATAATACAATATATATACACAGTATATTTCTAAATACATGTTCCAATGACTATTTCTTTGATGCTATAACAGAGATTTGGCATTTGAAGTGAATTCTCTTCCCTACACTTGGCCACAAAGAAGTTCAACAGACTACTTTGGTTATAATTATCCTTATGCCAATCTAACATTTCCTCAGTTTCCTGTGGTGAAACTACCTAGTGCAAACATTTTATAGATAAAATAGATTTCCTCTAGGGATAAAACGGTAATGCACAATGTTTTAATTTCATATGAGCATGCCTATGCCTTCTGTGCCAAACTAGTTGGGGTTGGGTGTATAGCTACTATGCATTCAGGTTTCATCAAAAAAGGAATTTGCACATTAGACCCAAAACACTTTCTTATGGCAAGCGTGCAAGACATATATTTTAGTGATAAAAGTAGAAAGACACAAATTAGGGCATATTATGGTTAAAGTACCATTTAAAAAAGAATTTGTGAATATATATATATATATATCTATATATCTGTATATGTGTGTGTGTTCATGCTTTCTCTTTTCATTAGGAAAATAGATTAATAAACTAAATTGCATGGACTGGCATTCGACTTTGGCAATGCTGGTACACTTCATACTGACATCCACAAAGTTTTGGCCATTTTTTCCATAGTCATTATATAATTTCTAATAGATAATGTCCTTTGTCAGAATTCCCACTCCACTGGCCCCTGTGCCTGCTTGTCAATTTTCCATGCCCAACTATTTGTTTGCTGTTGTGTTGCAAGAGCATAGTGGTCACCTCCTCTAAATGCTCTCATTGCTAATACAAGCCATAGTCAGTCCAGTGTGTCAAGACCATAATGTCATTGTCATTATCATTTATCAAAGAGGTTCCTTAATGGTTGTTGGCAATTCTTTTCATTTTTTCCTCTCACTACAAACATCAGTAGTAGTCACAGGTTAGCTGTCAAACACACAGGCAAGATTTGTCAGACACTGTGTTAATTAATTAATTAATTAATCACTGTGTCATAATTACGTTAGTGTGTTTCAGGGGTCTAAGTGCCCCCTTCATCAGGGCTTGACTTGGCTGTCAAACAAGCTGCTTTTAATTCACACTGGAAAAAAATACCATTGTAGGTCCAGTTCACTTTTGGTGCATTCACTTTGTTGCCAGTCAATCCCTGATGAAGGGGACACTTAAACCCCCAAAAGGCATTGGCCTTTAAATGGAATAAAGTTGTATCTGGACCTTGTAGCAGTCTAGATACAACTTTATGGTGCAGTACTTCAATATCAACTCCTTTTACATCACACTCTAAGTCAAGGAGACTGTGAAGATCCTCTGGGGTGTAGAAGTTGCCTTCTCAGATCATTTACACCAACTTTAATACCAACTTTAATACCTTAAGTTTACAATACCAGTAAAACAACCTTCGGGTCCAGCGTTCTTTCCACTTTCCTCAATGGTTACCATCTGTGTGAGATGCTTGGGATGCTGCTGCTCTCGTAATGGAATGACTAGTAGAATAGATTTCAAAGATATTACAGCTAATTAATTGACCCATTCCATCCACATGAATATACTGGAGCCTTGAAGACTGCAGAAATAAAAATATGTCACAAGAGGTTTGATTTTGCAGTGAGTCAAACACTCAATGTTCATACACAATCTCAAGTAAAATGAAAAAATATATAAATTTATTGTTGTTGACTAATAAATGCTGACCGCGTTGTATTTTTTTCTTAACATTTTTCTTAACATTTTACCTCCAAGTGTGCTTCTTGCTTTATGGTGAAATTGTCAAAAATTATTTTACAGGAAGTTTTGGTTATACATCATTTTTCAAGATATTTTCATCTTTCCTTCTTAATAAAAAGTAGCATTTAAAAAATATAATTGCAATTTCAGTTTGTTTACTCCTGTTGTTGGGGAAAACATATATAAAAAATACCTATCTCTATTCCACCTGTGTCACTTTCAACCTTTAGATCACAATGACAAAAACCTTTCTTGGGCAGTTATGCCATATAAATTGAACTTACAATCAGACACTTCAGGAAAAGAATAGTTGTAATAATAATGTTATTGCCTGCAATACATCTATATGTATATATTTTGATTAATTGTAGATACACTGTAGGTATTACATCGGGGGGATGAGTGATTATGGGATCCTGTATGGTGGGTTTGGTTTTCTCACAGTTGTCAAGTGGGGCTATAGATGGTGAAAATATGAGGATAGAAAATAGAAAAAGAACAGTCTCGTTGCTGCCGGCCTCCCTTGCTGTTTTAGGAACAGGTTACATGGTTGTGGGTATGCATCTATGTCCATCACAATAAAATAATGTTATAATCTTATTAATTTACTTGATTTAAGGAGTAAAGCATGTTAAACTAAATAAATAAATAGAAACCACTTTGAGTGTCCACATGAAGGGGAGTAAAAAAAAATTAATTTCACCTTGCACATTGTTGGATGTTTTTGAACACAGATTAATGTTATTCACTGAGATAAAAGTGAACTTTCATTTTTTTTTTCCAGTGAACATTCTCTGTTCCTTTAGTAAATGATCCCTAGTGTCTCATTTCCAATTTTTTGTGATGAAACATAATGGCCTTTTCGGGGTTGAAAATTCAATGTAACTATAATTAAAACAGCAAGAAAAACCCTCAGTAAAACATACTGTTTTCATTATTTTATTTTAATATTCTTGTTTTGTAGAAAAAAACATAATACTAAATATTATATCATGTAGATGCACAGCTAGCTACACTGGTATGTTACATGCCACATAGAAATATGAACGAGTTTAGAAGCATATAT